TGGATCCAAAGGCTGCCCGAGATTGATCTTAAATCACCGTAGAATTTGGATGAAGAACGGCACGATTTGATGTGCTTTTTGTTGATTACCGTGGAATTTGATGAAGAATGACACGATTTGATGTGCTTGTTGTTCTTTGTCTTCAGAGATGATTTGTTAAATTTGGTGAAGAACGGTACGACTTTGGATGTGCTTGGTGTTCTTTGCCTTCAAGTTTTCCCTCTGGATTTCTGACCCTCTGGATTTTTGATTCTCTCAATTTCTGGACCTTCTGAATTTCTGAGTCTCTGGATTTTTGAACTCTGAATTTGTGTCCCTTCCTTCTTTCTCCATGCCTCTATTTATAGGCTTTTTGGATTGATAGGATGATGGCACGTGTCCTTTCCTGATAAGAATAAAATCATAACTGGGCTGGCCGGTTATATTATGATAATTATCCTTAAAAATAATTATTCAAAATATATTTTATTAGGAATAATAATCTTTCCATTTAATCCTCTAGGCTAGGCTAATTAAATAATTTAAGTGGATCAAGCTTAGGCCAATTAAATAACTTAATTAAACATTAGAACCATATTTGATGGTCAATTTGTCAAAACAAAAGTGCATGAAATTTTAGTGTCTACAACTATATCTTAAATTAAAAACATAAACAATTTTATATTAATATAGTTAATGTCAGGAAGCTTAGTTTAACTATTTCGCATTAGAACTTGTTGTGCATCCCATTTGACACCTGGGAGAACTTAAGATATTAACATAATATGATGGGCACATGTGTATTTTTATTATTTTATGCAAGTAACATGATGATTAAGTTTATAAGCATTTGTTCATTTTTACTTAAAGCGCAGCACGAGAGATATCACTATCCATGGTGGTTCATCATAATTTTCTCATAATCTACTGTGTTTTCTAGTTGAGAGAGTTAAAAGGGAAAAAAAAAATTTATTTTTTTATTCAAGAAAAAAAAATTAATAAAAAGGAAAAAGTCTTGAACCATGTATATTGGTTGAGGTTGGTAGAATTAGATTCAGAGCTGCCATCTATCAAAATCGAGTTGGAAACAGTTATTACAACAATTTGAGAAGGTAAGGACCTTCTTGGATCACTTTTCATTTTCTAATTTCCGGGAACAATTTTCATTCAGACAAATCACAATCGAAAACAATATTCAGAGTTTTTTTTTTTTTTTTTAGTGTGAAAATTTGCTTGGTTGGAAAAACTACAAAATAGTTTTCAGAATTAAAAATAAAATAAAAATAAAATTATTTGGCATGATTATAAGAAACATTAAAACTGTTCAAAAATTTTGCATTTGTAAAACTTGTTATTACCTCCATTCACTAAAGAGAGAGATCCAAGCCTATAAATTTTAACATTAGAGCATATTTTTCACATATTTTCAATTCATATTTGTTGAAGCAAAAATCTGCACGGGTCGAGTCGATGATGTTTCTAGCAAGATAAGATAGAAGTGACGACCGGTGTTGTGCCGGTCAGGTGCACTCTGGCGGTTAAGTTAGTACCGGATAGATAACTCTCGATCAAGGATTCAATATGAAATTTATGGCGTACCTTTTTAGGTTGACTGGTGACTTCTTTTATAGAAGGATTGTAAGAGTTATTGGATAGAGTAGTAGTTGTTATTTCTATCTCCTTAAGTTTATCCATATCCTTTGAGTCACATGGAATTCTTATCTAGTCAAATATTCCGTATCAATTTATTTTTTTGTGTATGATTTTATGATCAAAATTGTGCTCTTTAATACATGAAAGCTCAAATTGTAATATAGAAACACAAATGCAATAGGCAGATATCATGTTTGATTTACAGATCTTACCATAATCTATACAAACAGTAAACTTCAAAATCATGATTGATCTGAATTTATCCGGGTTTTAACTAGGATAACTCCTCCATAATAATTTTTGTCTATTATTTACTAGAAAAAATCATCAAACTTGTCATATATCAGGCTTTCCCAATTTTAGGTGGTTTGCTCAAAATGAATAAAGGAAGAAAAAAGAGCAATAAGATTCTAAAATTCAAATATTAAACTGAGGAAAGGTAATCTATATTTAGGTATTGAACATGTACAAGGCTTCAAGGAAAGAGGCATCCCGAAGATAATTAATATTATTATTATTATTATTATTTTTCGAAAGGTAAGGAAGAAGATAAATTCCTGCACATGTACGTACAAGTAGGGACTTCGGATATAATAACTACGATTGAATTTTTGATCATATACAAATCTTGAAGATATACGTACTGAACGTAATGCCATCAAATGAGACGGCTTGCATCCACGTACGCCATCAAATTTTGCAACCATGGAACCATGTAAGTTTGCAACGAGAAGATGCCTTGCGACCAAGTATGCCATGGAAGAAGAAAATTCCTTGCATGAACTGATACTATGAAGGATGACATCTGCAAGAATGATACACTGCGAGCATTATGAACTGATACAACCAGCCAACATGGTCTACAATTAACTCAACTAGGTTTCCGTCAATCGCAATGTCATCTGCAAGCACGAAGTGATACTACTAAGCTACACATTGAACAATCCTGAAAAAGTGCCGAACCTAATACAGTGAACAATCATAGACTAAGATGATTAAGAGAATTACCAGGAGAGAATTCGAAGAGCAGTAGGTAAAGAAATAAAGAAGAACAATATCAAAATATTGTATCACTTATGGTTGAAGTGCAACATCAATAACATAATTCACATTCCTCACCAAGAATCCTTATAAATCAAAATAAAGAAGAACCATTTATCACCAAGAATCCAAGAATTGTACCAAATATCGATTTGATTACCTTTAGCCATCCGCCACTTCAATGTGTGTCTCAGAACTCCACGAGATGAACATATACTTTGCCAAGCCCATGAATCTACTTGTCTTACCTTGGCATACATGAAGAAAAAGTCAGGATGTTTTTTTTTTTTTTTGTTTTTCTTTTGATAAGTAAAAATATATTAGAAAAACGTTCAAAAGGAAAGATGGATTAAATAAAATATTAAGGTTTGACATTATTATGAATCCGTCCTTATATTCTGATCCCATATTTATGCTTGGCAATTGAACTTTTACAATTGCCAGCTTAACTTTGGCCTAATGCACATGAGAGAGAGGTCATGGTTGTACAAGGTAGAGAAGAATGAAACTGTCACGGTCAAATTACCTCGCCTAAATTGGTGCAAATGCATGGGTAATTATACTATCAGAGTTTCACATTGTTGTTTTCTTATACTAGACTCTGGATTTGCTATCCAATGAGGTAATGACCATAATGCAGAAATTCTCTGGACTTACAAATAGAACTGAGCTAGTTGTTGCACGGAGAAGGCAACCAAAAGAACGAAAAACTGGTACTTTCTGTTTTATGTAAAGGAAGATTAGTTCCATTAGTATGCATTGCAGTTGTAAAATATATCTCATGCTATAAACTTCAACACAGAATCTTGAAAGCATTGTTCCCCACAGAAGTTGTCTGAACACCCACCCCTCAATTATAACCTGTAAAAGTATACTGTAATAGATCATATTCTAGATCACTCTTTTGATACCTGTTCAGTAAATTGAGGTGCCAAACCTTGCTCTGATCAAGCTTCAGAATATGGCAAGGCTTATTTCTTTTATTCAGTGTGCAATCATGAACCACACTGAAACTTTAAGCTGCAAGGAAAAAGCCAATCACACTTGCTGGAGCAAATCTGATAATATATATAGATATCACAAAACCATTACTTACCAAGATGAGCAACTATGCCTGCTCACTAACTGAAAATGTGCATGCTTGAGAAGGGCGGTATTGTGCTTCTAAATATACATTCACACTTATACCCGGTGTTAATATGATCTCTTCTTGGTACACTCATCCTTCCATAGTATATTAGTATACCTGAACCAGTGGTTGACTTCAACTTCTTCTCGGTCATATACGATGAACTAGCCCTTCTTGAACGATCCTCTTTTCTAGAAAAAAACAAAAAAGAGATAAATTGAAGTTTAGTGTAAGGAAGCCCCGCATAGACAGACCAATAAAGCCTCATACAGTCCCAACTAGCAGCCATGGAACAAAGGCCTGACAAATTAATTATATTCCAGAAGGTTTTAAGATGTGATCTAGACTAAATTTTAGACCCAAAGGCATGGAGCAGTTTCCTTTTACACTGACATCTATAGCTATTGGCCAATTCTGTATTAGCTTGTGCATTCCATCTATATCATAGGGAGGCACACCTGATTGACTAAACTCTTTCCTACACTGCATCAATCATTACTCGCTTAGGCAAAAGTCCCCACCAAATTCTATTCCGATCTGGTATCAACTATTCTAGTTCTACCATATAAGACGAGTACTAGGACCGTCCAACCAAATTATGGAATCTTCTTAAGTAACTTCATTGCCTCTTAAGTAATCCAGATTTTCAGCATATATCTGCAAAAGGTCTTCCCAACAAATAAAACCCAAATCTATAGTCCTCAAGAAGCCAAGAGTCACGAAACCAGCCCGTATAGTTGTTCCAACTTTAATTGTATATATATCATTATTTTCCACCATGATACCTGAAAAAGTGTCATTGCATCAGAAAAAAAATAAATTTAAGTAGTTCAAGAGTGACTGTATCTGCCGATTCATATTATAAATCAAGCTCAGTCAAGGTCATTACATTTTCAAATTACCTTTATAGGGTCCTTCAAGACTACATTTCCCTCATAATTTAGTTGAACAACTCCGTGTTAGACACTCCAGTTGATAATAAGGATCTTAAGGTGAATTTCCCAAGATCTGGCCTATGATTATATTCTAGAGTCTTTTTTTTATGCATAAAACCCATCCCAATCAACAATCAAGATACATATAAAAATGTGAAAAATGGGTTTCCCCAGCGTAAAAGTTATATACCATGCATTTTAATTTCCACTTCTCTATTAATCAGACGTCCAAACTAAGGCCAGGAACTTTGGGGGCATTTCTCTCATCCATCACTCTCCTTGTCCGAATCTGCAAACCTACCAACACCGGCAAAGATGTTGGACAAAAGCACATAGTCACCACCATATCCCCTTTCCATCTCTAGTATCTTCCATGTAACTCTTTCTCTCATCTCAACATTACCATGGAAACTACAAGCACCCAGAAGCGTCCTCCAAATCACAACATTGGCCATCTCAGGAGGAATCTCCAAAGCCATCTTTTCTGCTTCCTCAAACCTCCCGGCCCTTCCCAACATGTCTATTAAGCAGCCATAGTGCTTAATATTTGGTACAAGTTGATACTCATTAAGCATCTTCCTGAAAAACGCAAGCCCCTCTTTGACCAACCCACTATGGCTGCAAGCATTTAGAGCACTAAAAAATGTCACACTATTCGGCATCACACAAGCATTCTCCATTCTTCTAAAATTTTCCACAGCTTCTTTTGCCATCCCATGCATTGCAAGCCAAGAAATTATTGAGGTCCATGACACCAAATTCCTCCTCTCTGGAGACACATCCTCGAAAAGTCTTAATGCACTCTCTGCACAACCACATTTCGCATAAGTATCTATAAGGCAATTCATTACACGAATATCAGATGCATTGAACCCACTTCTCTCTCCATAAGCATGAACAGATTGGCAAAGCTCAAGAGCCCTAAGATTCCAAATTGCTGGGAGAACCGCCAAAATCGTTTTTTTGGGTTGGTTTAATGCTTTCATCCAAAACCATTCTCTGAAACAACTGTTGGGATTTATATGCACTGTCGTAGCGAATTCCTATTTGGATTAAAGTGACATATGTTCCTAACGTATCTGAAATATTTATGCTTTATATAATTGGTGAATTCAATGTATTATGTTTCGATTCATTATGGAATTGATAGTGTCCATTTGATTACAAGAGATATTTATAAATGTATGTGATGGCGATCAATACGTGAATATAAATAGTAATTATAAATTGTTCATAGTCAGTAATTATGGATAGACTTATAATTAATTAAGACTTGAACTGGATCCGCGTTAGGTTGAGATATATTGCGAGAGCCGTCGTATGCAATTGCTCCCTATCACTGTCATGACATTTTACTCTTAAGCATGAGAGAAGTATAGACTCTTTTATTAATTAGTAATTACTTTGATTTGTTCGACGGAATCTTCAGAATTCTTAGACCGGCACTTTGGGTAATTATGTAATTAATAGTTAGAGGGTTATATTTTCAATATTTGCATCATTGCTAGTTGTATTTATTTTGTATTGATTATGGTTGATCACAAAATAAATTTGAAGACCTTCATGTGTTTTTAGATAAGATGATTTATTATATATTTATTTATTTAAATAATCATTTTTGTCATACAAATGTTTTATAGTGATCAAGTCAGAAATAATCAAAGATACCAAAATAAATATATTAATTAAGTAATCGAATTGATGGCTTTATTTATCCGATAACTAATTATGCATAGAGGGGTCAAAATGCAACATTTACTTAGAGGTTATTTATTATTTAATTGGAGTTCAATTAATTTTTTAGTGGAGTAGAAATTAATTAATGAATTAATTTAATTGGGTTCATGGATTGGGCCAATTATTAATTCATTGTAGCTAAGAAAATAATAACCCAATAGGATTATCACTCATAGCCCAACTTGATATTGGAATTCTATTAGATTTGAGATATGTGAATTCGAGATGGAGAATGATTTATTGTTTCTTTTTCTTATTTTTATGTTGCCTATATATACATGGGTTCATGTATATTTTAGGACAGACTTTTGGAAGAAAAAGAAAAAGGAATATAATTTTTTCTCTCTCTAGATTCTTGGGTTTGCTTTCTCATCTAATGGAGGCTCCCACAAGCCTAGTTTTCGAAGGTCATTCATGGAGGCTTATGGGTGATTCCTAAAAGCAAAACTATTACCAAGAAGATGGAGATCTAAGGAGATGACATTTAGCAAAGGGATATACAATAAGTGAGAACATTCACTTTAGAGAAAAGATTTAAAGGTTTTCTCAAACCTTTGATGTAAATATTCAATCTATTACTTAAATGAGACATCATATTTTATTTTTGCATAAAACTTGTCTCTATGTGATGGATCAAGATCTATGTAAGAAAATTCCTCAAAAAGTTTTTAAAACTTGCACGTTTCCCAACAGTGGTATCAGAACATGGATTGATTCATTACTAGAGATCATGTTTTTATTAAAATCATCATTCATGGATCCAAAATTATATTCATATATATTTTTATTGATGTATGTTAATGTATGATTTAATATGTTGATATATATTGATACATGATGATGTATGTATAATTGTGAATGAATGATGATGTATGGTTGGACCATGGATAAAGCTTATAGGTTAATTGAATGTAATTTTATCTTTAGATGAATGTAATTAAGGCTTTAATTTAGCTGTTTGAAAGTTCAATGATGTAATTTAATTTTTTTCTATTGTATTTCAAATTGTAAATATTTATTAAAACCATGTAATCTTCATCAAAGGATGCTATGAAGCTTTAAGAAGGTCCAAAAGGGTTAAATTAGGCTTCAGGAATTTTCCAGAATTTTTCGGAATTTTTCTGGAATTTTTTGGGCTTAATTTAATTTTCTGGGATTTTTTCTATTTTTTTTTTGGAATTTTTCGGCGTTTTTCCGGTAGCCGGAACATCGCTGGCGGCAAAAAGAGGTGCTGGAGGAGGCTGCAATCCAGTGCATCACATATAGGATGCATCTGGCGCGTGATGAGCACGTGCCAGGGAGAAGAAGCTTGTTGGCGCGTGAGGAACACGCGCTAGGCAAGTATATGCCTTACACGCGCGTGGCAGCGCGTGAAGGCGCGTGCCACAGGCTTGTTTTTCTATTTGGCGCGTGCCAGCGCGTGTGGGGTCCTTCGGGCGCATTCCAAGCGTCGTTTTGCTTCTCCTAGCGCGTACCAGCTCCTTACAGTTGTTTACAAGTCGTTGGTGGACGCCCGTACATCAAGAATAATATTTAAATGTTAAAACCTGATTCCAATGTTCATTTAATTTGCTTTTGTCTGTTGTTTATTTATTTATGTGATGCATGGAATAATTAATTGCTAATTATTATTGTTCATGCATTGGATCTATGATATTTAATTAAATGACTTGATTTATATTAATTAAATTATAAAAATTAATTAGATTTGATTACTACTTAATTAGAGGACACTTATTGAGAAACGAAAAATTATTTTTGAATTTTTTTTTTTTTAAATGTGCCTCAAATTAAATATTAGTGAATCATTTAAAAGTCCAGTTATTTTCTAAATTTAATTGGATTAAAATCAAGACGTTTTGCATGCATTGTATCATGGATATGAATAAATGAAAAACTTTAATTACAGATGATTAAAAATTGAGTGGGAATGTGAATTTTTATGCATTACCCTATGGCCTTCGTTATTATAACCATTGTAATTAGATCTTCAAAAATAAGGTCCTACGCATGATTTGAAGAGTCTTAATATTACAAGAATGGTTGTCTCATGAAAATAAAAATATTAAATATTCATTGTAATTAGATCTTTAAAAATAAGGCCCTACGCATGATTTAAAGAGTCTAGATTATAATGACAAGATATTTAATGTTTTATTTTTTGTTGGAGTATTAATAACGTTATACACTCAATCTAAAATCAATAGTGTTAGCTTCCCAATGGAGTGGTTTACACTAGGTGATTTTAGAAAGGCTAAACCTAATCGGGAATGATTTCATATAGATAGATAAGACATTGTCTTAAGAGATATGGAAATAATGATGGGATTTGCCCGTCAATAGCAATAATGAATTTCGCCAACCGAATAAGTTATTGGTGTATTGGTTATCCGATTGTTCATGCAGTGGTTATGAGACCCACATATTATTTTAATGGAAGTACGCGCCTAATAGCAAATGAATCTTAGCAATAGTAATAATGAACTCCTCCATCAAGATAAGTTATTGACGTATTGATTGTGTGATTTATTATACTACGAAGTTGAGGGACCCGCATTAATTAAAAGGGATTGTTTACTAATAGTAATAATGAATTCCTATACTATTGAGATTTATTATACTATGTGGTTGAGAAAACTCATTTTAATTTTAAATATGCATAATAGTATTAATAATTTACCTTACATATTGTATAAACGCATTTATATTCAGATTTATTATGTCTAATCCATTTTATATGCTTGCTAACATATTCAATGTATTTGGACCTCATTTATACAGACTGGAAAAGGAACTTAGATATTTTACTCACAACATAAGGGTACAAAATGTATTTTCTATTGCTAAACCTAATCATTTTACTTAAGATACCCAAGAGAACATTAATGCTTTTAATAAGCGAAATAAGGCAAATGATATGACTTGGTGCAATATTCTAGAGTTTATCTCGAATACGCTCCAAATGTAACATTTACATTATTTTATTTTCTTCAAGCATCATGTTAAATTTCAATGAGATGTTTTGGTGAGATTAGATAGAATATATGCCTAAATACTATGTCAAATTTAAATACCATCAAGATAACCTAAGGATCTCCAGTAAAAGATCGAATTTTGGAAAATGATTGTTTATTATTTAAAAATTGAACTAGAGGTCAATAGGGCTGACTTGGATGGCAAGTTTCAAGTTGACATAATTATTGCCTTATTACTTAACTCGTTTGACTCTTTTAGAGTGAACGAAATAAGGAACCAGTTTGAGTTCCCACTCGCTAATATTCTTATAGAATTGGTAACAGATGAAGAGATAATTAAAAGTATGGGCGTTCCTATCAATCTAACCTAGTCTATACCATCTTTTTCTAGGCCTAAGTGGAAGGTCAAAAGAAAGGAGAAGGATGATAATAGGATTAGGCTAACACAAAACATGGGTATCCAAAAGGTAAAAGGGAATAAGGCAGTGTATGTTGAGGGCGAATGAAACTGTTTCTTTTGCTGCCAACTAAGACACTAAATAACGAACTGTCTAAGCAATGACGTGGCTTAGGAAAGTGTATATTTAATCATTGAGCCTTGTGATGTGGTTGTATCTATTAATTCCTGATGGATAGATTCTGGAGCCACTAAACATGTTTACAACTCGTTGCAAGGATTTCAGGAATCCAGAAGCCTCAATGATATGGATATATATTTGTCTTTTGACGTGATGCCAAGGTTGTAGCTAAGTCAGTGGGAGTATTACATCTAAAATTATAGAGTATGAGGATATTAGTATTAGAGAACTATCTTTATGCACAGATGTTAGACGCAATCTAATTCTTGTTTCACTTTTGGTTTATAAAAACTGTGTTGTTATTTTGTAAAACTGGTTTTTAAAATTGATTAAATGTACGATTGCTTCTGGTGCATTGAAAGATGGTCAATATACTATAACCACAAACTCTTAATATTTATAAGATGTAGAAACTAATGTTGCATTTTCTAGATTAAATGTTAAAAGAAAATTTGTTATTCCTGACTCATTGTATTTTTTAGTGTCTATTTTTAGGTTGTAATCAATCAAAATGAGATTCAAAGATTGGTCAAAGAAGGTTTATTACCTAGTGAGGCAGGGGAGCCTAAACCAAACTTGTGAATTCTGTTTTGAAGGATAGATAAATCTAAGGGCTTAATCAGTTAAATGAAATAGACATAAAGAACAATTGGAGTCGGTACACACAGACACGTGTGGTCTTATGAACATCCAAGCAAGATTACTCATGTTTTGGATA